CTCCCCGGCTCCTCACCGGCAGCGCTCAGGACCGCGAGCGCGAGCAGGCGGGCGCGTGCACGCAGAGGCCAGGACCCGCCGGGAAACCTCACCCGGGCAGCCCCCACCCCGCTCCAACGCCGAGGCAGCTCCACCCGCGCGAGCCCTGCCGCCGGGAGTCTTCTGCGTCACGTGGTTCCGGGCCGGGTGACGCCGAAGCCGCGATTCCCAGGCTGCAGCGCGGCCTCCCTAGCGGGGGTGACGCCGGCGCGGCGGCCATGTTTGTCGAGGGCACAGGGCTTCTCCCGCTCTCGCCGCGGGGCGAGTCTGGAAGCGCGCGCCCACCCGGCTCCAGGAAAGGGGCGCGGCGGAGCTCGCGGGCTGGGCCCGGTTCTCACTGGGGCGCTGGCCGCTAGAACTCGCCCTGGTCCCAGGCGTTTTTTTGACTCGTTTTAACATTACGGGGCTTGTCACGGGTCACAGCTGGTAAGCAATGGCGCTTGGATTTCCGACCCCACGCCAAAGCACTTTCCACTGCCCCATCCTGGCTCCCCGTTAGAAGTGGGCAATTATGGCAGTAGTGGGAAACTGCCCAGGGGAGGGGAGCAGATTGGCAGCTGAGGGAAACTGCCAGGGGAGGGAGAGGCACACCTCATCAAAAAGGGTACCTGCATAATCGACGTTTGTATACCTAACCCTGAATTGTACCCCAATCTTTAAAAAAAAAATTTTAAGTGTGCAATTACAGAGATAAGCTGTCCTGAGGAGAGCAAATGACTGGGTAGCTTCCGAAGGGCTGAGATATTTATGTGAGCTTAGTAGAGTGCCCAGGGTCACCCAGAAATATTAGGGCTTTGGGGAAGTGAAGCTAATTTTATAAATTAGAGGACTTCAAGTTAAGATTAAGCCTATGTACCCAAACCTTACTTAAATGACAAAGCAATGAAAGAGGGAACACACAAAGAGAACGAGAGGAAATGACTGCAGACAAAATATGCCAACACATTTTTGGAGAACAGGAACAAAAAACTTAATGAATGCTTACTACACAGCAGACATTGTTCTAAGTGTTTTATACATTAATTTATTATTTACTCTTAACCCAAAAGGTAGACATAGTTTACAGATAAGTGAGCAAAAGAGAGGTTATTTGTACCCAGGTAGTCTCTCTGCAGATGGAAGTCTCAGTCAGCAGAGCTCAGCAAACTGCCTGCAGAAAGGGATGTTAAGTGACTCACAAAACTGAACCCCTGAAAGGCCTTTCAACGTCAGGTGCCTTGAAGGCATAAGGGAGGGGAGACAGGATTGAAAATGTTAACTGCCTAAAAGTCTATAGAAAGAGCAAACACTTGGGTCGGTCGGTCCCCACTTCTATCCAGTGCAGCTGGGCCATTCCCCATCCTTCCCCAGGCAGAAGACTAGTTTAAGAGGCGGAAGACAGGGAAATCAGGAGACCGGACACAGGCCCAACAGAGGGAAGAGGTGCCATTATGAAGTTTCCTACTGAATGGTGAAATGCCAGTGGCCCCTTCTCGGCCTCTCCCAGAATGCTTGGCAACCCTCTGCTGCTCCTCCATCACCCTCTCCCACTTCCCCACTACCCTCTCCCCAAAACCCTATTTTTCTGTGAAGTTGAGCAGATGAAAACCTTAGAGAAATGGCTTGTAGACACTGACATTCCGCATTCCCCAGATTAAGTAGGTGTGGGCCTCACTCACAAATACAGCACTTCACAACATTTTTCTGTTTGGAATTTGAAGCAAACAGAAAATAGAACACTGTTTTTTAAAAGTATTCTGTAATTAGCATCCTCAAAAGATATTTTGGTCATAAAACAAGAGAAGGATTTTCCTTTTTTTTTTTTTTTTTAAAGTGGAGATGGCAGAGCACAAGAAATGGTTCTTCAAAAATAAAAATAATACCCCAAATGCTAAAGCATCAATAGAAGAGTTGGAAAAATCTAGAGGCCAGGCACAGTGGCTCAAGCCTGTAACCCCAGCACTTTGGGAGGCCGACACAAGAGGATTGCTGGAGCTCAGGGGTTCAAGACCAGCCTGGGGAACTTACTGAGACCTCGTCTCTACAGTAAATCAAAAAATAAGCCAGGCATGGTAGCTCACACCTATAGTTCCAGCTACTTGGAAGGCTGATGTGGAAGGATCACCTGAGCCCAGCAAGTTGAGGCTGCAGTGGCCGTGAGGTGTCACTTCACTCCAGTCTGGGTGACAGAGTGAGTGAGACTCCAACTCAAAAAAAAAAATCTAGAAAGTAGAAAAGATGAAAAATCAAGCAAAAATAAAAAGGTTCATTGTCCAATTAGGAGGCATTTAGAAACAAAAAGAAAATAAAAAATTTTTTCAAAAACACATTAGAAAATTTACCAAGCTGAGAGTTTTTGTTTGTATTTTCACAGTGAAAGGACCTACTCAGCACAATGAATGTGAAGAAACTCACAAAAAAGCAATTCAGTGTGAAGCTTCAGAACACTGTAGACAGAAAACTCCTAAGAGCTGTGTGGGTTGGGGGAGAGTTATAAACAAAGATTTGACATCATATATACAATAATAGTATTAGGTTTTCCATCAGCAATGCTGGAATTTAGAACGGAGTAATGCTTTCAAATTGTTGAGACAATTTATTTCTAACCTAGAATTTTTGAATCCAGCTAATAGGAGGAGGGGAAAATAAAGATAGTTTCAAACAAACCACTAGCCTGGATTGGAGGAGGAAGACAGGATTCCAAGAGAAACTTCTCCAGGAGTGGGAGAGAACTGTTACAGATTACCTTGATATCTGACAGTGAGGAAAACAGTATGCAGAGAAGGGTACCACAGTTCTGTTGGGGGAATCTGGCAAGAATTAGTGACAGCCATACAGAAAACAAAGCAAACCAAAAAAAGTGAGGTAATATCACCCCAGAAAGTGATTTAGGAAATACAATTATAATATACTTACGTAGTCATAAGAAAAATCTTAAAACACGATTTAATTAAAATGAGGCAGGGAGAGGAGAAGTCAGTAATACAAGAGGTCTAAATTTTCATCTTGCCAATAGAAAATTTATATAGTGGTTAAACTTCAGGAATCTAAAAAAGTCGTATTATCCTACTGTTCTGAAATATGAAGGCAAGTACCTGGTGAAATACCTAAGAAAATTAAAAGTGATGGCTTTCAAAGAGTGGAACACAAGGACATGGCTTTTGAAGAAGTGTTAGCTGTTTGCTCTTTTTTTGACAATGCTTGGCAGTTTCATCTATGAACACAACTGAGCAATAAATGAAAACCCCTTTGATGTTTTCTTATTAACTAAGTGATGTCCAGTGTATGAACACTCAATAATCATAAAGCTCTGTATTAGTCTTCTTCCTTATTTCCCCTTTTCAACTCCCTCCTGCTTCCATGTATGTAAATTTTTAAACATCTCTATGTCTCATTGCTAATAAGTGTTTTGCAAATTTAAATTCATGGTTCAGTCAGGAACTGGGAAAAAGAAAGGACAGAACAAGTGGAGACAAAAGTTTTTAAGGGTGAGAAAAAATACAAACTGAACCAAAAGAAGGGAGGAGCTATGAATATTAGAAGCATTATGTACTTAAAGATTAAAAGAAGCTAGGCTCCACAGGCTAGAAATGATTCAAGAGTTTAGGAAAGTTTATAGATGCAGAGGGCTGCTACATCAAAGAATTGAGCTTCTCAAGAACTGAGATAAAAAAGAAAAGCTTAATTACAATGCCCATGAAAATAATAAACTAAGAACAAAGGAAGAAGTGTTATAGGCAGCGTCAACTGGACCTGGGCTTTGCACTTAATGGGGGCAGGAGGCAGAAAATAGTACCCGGATAAAATCTGCTTCAGCTAATTGTTCCTCCCTTTAGTCTGTAGAATTATTAGCAGCCAGTAGAACCTATATGGGCTCTCCTCTTGTCTTAAATATGCACGCCTGTAATTTTCCCTTAATTATAGAATTTTGACATTCCTCTGGTCTTTTAATACCAAACATTAGACAATGCCTAAGCAAATTCAACAACAGCTAACACAGAGTACCTAACCATTAACTTTGCCAGGCCTTTCACCTGCATTATCAAATCAGGTCTTTAGAAAACCCTCAGATAATTATTTTGCACGGTCACTCAGCCAGTAAAAGGGGGAGTTGAGACCTGACTTCAAAGGCCATTCATTTTTACTATTACATTCACTTTCTATTGTGCTGGAGTCACAATATAACTAGAGCCCATAAGGAGAGATTATTAGATGAGGTCTTCAAGACAAACATCTTGAAACAGGTAGTCAACTGCAATCTCTGCCTCCTATAATGCTTTTGCCACCTAAAACCAGATATAAGCATCACAGTGATTATAAGTAACAGAACTGAGAATCCTGATAAAAAATGCTCCAAAATAAGGTTCTTTTCCTAACTTAGTTAAATGTTAGTCAAAAACTTCTGAGTTACAGTTAAAACATGGAATTGCCTATTATCCCTTTAAAGTTGGTAAGAATGATTAGTCTCCTAAAGCCCTCCCTATGTTCTATGAACCAGATTAATGACATGATTTCTTTTATCCTAAGGTGACTTTAAAAAAAACAAAAGAAGGCCGGGCTCGGTGGCTCAGCCTGTAATCCTGCGCTTTGGGAGGCCAAGGTGAGTGGATTGCCTGAGCCCATGGGTTCGAAACCTGCCTGGGCAACTTGGCAAGACCCCATCTTTACAATAAATAAAAAGAAATTAGCCGAGCATGGTAGCGCACGCCTGTAGTTCCAGCTACTTAGAAGGCTGAGGCAGAAGGATCGCCGGAGGCCAGCAGGTCGAGGCTGCGGTGGCTGGGGGCGGCCACTGCACTCCAGTCTGGGCAATAGAGTGAGACTTCAACTCAAAAACAAAAACAAAAAAAATGAAAGAAACAAAACGAAGCATTATGCCTTTACATATGAAAGTTCAGTTCAGATACTACTCTATTATTTGCTTGCTTCTAGGGACCTTAATTACAGTGAAGGTTCTGATTTCATTGAGATTACATTAATGAGAGCCTTAAGCCACAGTTTTGACACTTAAGTATTTACACTTTATTTCCAGCACTTATGTTCATTCTTAATAAAAAGGTTTAGTACAGTCTAGGGGATTCCTTTTAAATATGTTTACCTATTTGTGACAGAGAAACCAATAGGGACCAGCAAACCATTGTTTACTTACTTACAAAATACATCCCCCACAGGCAATCTGTTTGGCTTAGCACTCTTCATAGCTACAGGATAGCCCTGCAGAGTACCCTCGGGTTTCATTGATCCACACCTAATGGTACTTAAAAACACCCATGCTTCCTATCTTGTTTCATGAATCCATGAAAATCTGCCAATTCCCTAAGCTCTAAAAGCGGTGATGTTTACCAAAATCAGCATTTTTTCTTTTTGGAAACAGGCAGCATCTGATAATAACGAGGGCAATAAGATCTGACTTAACCAAAATTACATGAAAATTAAGAAGTGATTTCATCATTCTGCTTTGCAGTGTAGTTTCCAGAAATCAACTGTGATAAAAAGCAGAAAGTAACTATATTAAAATTTTACTAATTCCTAAAAGGCTGGAAGTTGGGTTTAACAGTTTATTATGATTTATAAGTGTCATTTAAAAAACATCAGATTTAAACCATGTAGAAATAAGTATGCAAAAAAGTCTGCAGAACAAAACATACATTAACATAATTAAGTAGATATATTATCTGAAACTCCAGATTGTTCAGTCACTTCATTATTATGCTATGGCAGCCAAGTAATCCTTAACTTCAGTTGGAGTAAGCCTCCTAAATCCAGCTTCATTGCAGATTCCAACTTCTATGTTATCCTCTGTCATTTGCCCTTCAAAGCTTTCCTATTGAGAAGAGAGGAAAAATAAGTCAAATTTCCAAGCAGTTATGAAGTCATTATATACCCATTTATAAATACTGAGCTTACCTTTAGGGTTAAGATGGCTGTATGAATGGCGTCCTCAAGTTCCAGATCCTCATTATATCTAATGAATTTGGGGGAAAAAAATACATAATGACTTATGGCACTGTTTACATTCTTTATGGCTATTTAAATACAATCATAACAACAGCATAAGAACTTTTAAAAATTCAAGACACTCTTAAAAATACTCAATTACACATTAATTCTTTCAGTTACCACCTCATTGAGATAGCTGTCCCCAAATAAAAACTTGGCAATTATTTTGTATTCAGTTCCCAACATCATGAAAAGAATATAACCCTAAAATGAGTTTATTTGAGGAAATTCTCCTTATGTATGAACACTTTAATCAGGATGTGGTAGCAATATTATATTTTTAAAAATACAAAAAAAAACCCAGACCTTTCCTAAAGTTTCATTTGTTCTTATAAGCTGTAACATATTACAACATGTGAAATCTTTGGAAGACTCATGAATATGGAAAAGGAAAAGGAAAGTGCTTCAAGATCCTAACATTATTTAAGTCTACCCTTTAATCCCAGGTTAAAGATTTTTAATAACCTTAACATTACTATAACATTAATATGTGAAACTATTTACTGCAAATTAAAGTTTAAAACAATTTAACAATTTTCAAATATTCAGCCACCAAAAAGAGTGAAATCCTGTCATTTGCAGCAATATGGACGGAACTGAAGGTCATTATGTTAAGTGAAGTAAGTCAAACACAGAAAGATAAATATCACATGCTCTCACTTGTATGTGGAAGCTAAAAATTGGATCTCATGAAGGTGGAGAGTGGAATAGTGGTTACCAGAGGCTGGGAAGGAAAGGTGGTGGGTGAGAGGATAAAAAAAGATGGTTAAGGGATTAAAAAGAAATACAGTTAAGACAGAAAGAATAAGTTCTAGTGTTCAATTGTACAGTAGGGAAATTATAATTAATAATTTACTATATATTTCAAAGTCGCTAGAAGATTTGTAATGTTCCCAACACAAAGAAAAGGTATAAATTGGAGGTGATTACCTTGATTTTATCATTACACGTTGTATAGAAGTATCAAAAAATCACATGTACCCCCCAAAATGTGTAACTATTTTAGATCAATTAAAAAGACTAATGTAAAAAATTTTTCTGTTAAAATGGGCAGCTTTGAAGGACCAAATGTAGAATACAGCTGGAAATAAGTGAGAGAGGCTTGTTGTGCCCAGGAACTGAGAGCAGACTTTTACCTAGTGCTCCACTTTTCATCAAACATGCACATCATATATTAAGTCTATTTTCAACACCAGGTATTTGGCTTCACATTTATTTTTTAACTGTCATAATGTAAACTGTCATCATTAAATCATTAAAAAACTTTTGCCGCCGGGCTCGGTGGCTCAGCCTGTAATCCCGCGCCTTTGGGAGGCTGAGGTGAGTGGATTGCCTGAGCCCGCGGGTTCGAGACCCGCCTGGGCAACTTGGCGAGACCTCATCTCTACAATAAATCAAAAATCAGCTGGGCGTGGTAGCATGTGCCTGTAGTTCCAACTACTTAGAAGGCTGAGGCGGAAGGATCGCTGGAGCCCAGCATGTTGAGGCTGAGGTGGCCAGGAGCGGTCACTGCACTCCAGTCTGGGCGACAGAGTGAGACTCCAACCAAAAAAAAAAAAAAAAAAAACTTTTGCCCATTTTTTACTCCAAATACAATGTTCTTTCCCCCCACTGAAATAGTAGAAAAAATGGAGGTGAGAGGATTGCCTACACTCAGGGCTTCAAGACCATCCTGAGCAACATGGTGAGACCTCGTCTCTACAATAAATTAAAAGAAAGAAAAAAAAAAATTAGCCAGGCATGGTGGCACATGCCTGTGGTTCCAGCTACTTGGAAGGCTGAGGTGGAAGGATCGCCTGAACACAGTAGGTCAAGGTTGCAGTGGCTGTGAGCAGCGTGCCACTGTACTCCAATGGACAACAGTGAGACTCCAACTCAAAAAAAAAAAAAGAATGTAGAAGAAAGAGAAGTCCTTAAGAAATGAATAACATTACCACTGAATATACTGAAAGCTAGGAAGCCAAAAGTTTTTTGCTTCTTTTATCTGTAACTAGATTCAAATACACAGTAATACAACAAATTTATGTAGATACACGATAGCAATGATTTAGAGTGCTCAAAACCATAATGTGAGCTTGCTAATGAATCTAGTTAGAGCCTACCTTTTCTCAAGGAAAGTTTTCCCATTCACATAATTCTTTCCCATTGCTGTGGCTTTCCAAGCAAAGTAAGCTCCCTAATCAGGAAGGGAAGAGAAAAGAATCATACTTTAAAACATTGATATAATTATATTATCCTGCCATTTGTTTTTTGGCTCTATAATTGTCTCTGACTTATAAGGTCACAGAATATCACTGGAATGAAATGGAACATGTCACATAATAGGTTATTTTTTAAGCAGTTAAGAGGAGTGAAAGCCAGGCATGAAGAAACTTCTGGAGGTTTTGGAGAAGTTTGGCACCCTGACTGTGGTGACGGTTTCCTCAAGCATTTACATGTACCAAAACTCATAAAATTAATGATGGATTGGTGATGATGCAATTTATTGTACATAAGTAATTTTAGAAGGCCAGTTAAAAGAAATTGAGGTTAACTTAAAGTATATAAACAAGAGTGATATTGTAGCTTAACAGATTGAAGGGATCTAAAAATCTATCACAGATATCTGGAAAATAGCGAGCAACTCTTGATTATTAGTGAATAAATTAAAAGTAGGCAGCTTTTCATTTAAAATAGTCAAAAGTTTTGATATTTTGTCATCTCAAGTTTAATAAAAGCAGCAGCAAAATGTCACATATATATAACACAGCCTCATCTGTTGAATATATATATATGCAAATAGAAAAAACACTGAAATAAACATATCAAATATATTTTGAATGAAACAACCCTCTTTTCGATACAACAGCTAAAAATAGGGCAAAAGATGAAACCAGAATTCCAGAGATGGTGGTTTCTGCTATCCACCCCATTGGAAAGGAAGGTAGAAGGGCTTGTCGTTTAGCTTCAGAAGTTCAGAGATAGAGTAACAACACTGTCAAAGTTCCCAAACTGATTTCTGATTTAAATAATAAATAACCAAAATGTTTTTCTTTTGTTTTCTCAGGTTATAAGGTTAGATCATTAGGTTTGCATTGATTGAACTTGCAATTATCTAATAATCCATAATACAAAAGAACATTTCCTAGTTTTAACTTTTTTTTTCTTAAGATTTTCTTGGCCGGGTGCAGTGGCTCACACCTATAATCCCAACACTTTGGGAGGCCAAGGTGAGAGGACTACCTGAGTCCACCGGTTTGAGACCAACCTGGGCAACTTGGCAAGACCTCATCTCTACAATAAATCAAAAAATTAGCTGGGCATGGTAGCACATGCCTATATTTCCAGCTTCTTGGAAGGTTGAGGAGGAAGGATTGCCTGAGCCCAGCAGGTCGAGGCCACAGTGGCCGTGAGTGTGCCACTACACTCTAGCCTGGGCGACAGAGTGAGACTCCAACTAAAAAAAAAAGATTCTCTTCACAACAAATGGGACAGATGTGGAGAACTATCATTTATGAACACCTTCTACCCAGACACCAGTCTTCTGCTTTAGAGTAGACAACTCACCCAAGATACTGATTACACAATCATTTCGCCAAACACTGTATTCAAGACAGATCAATGTTTTTGCTGTGAGAGTCACATTCAAGTGAGTCTCAAGATTAAACTGATGACAAGGATTACAATATCATCTCTAACTGCAGTACTTTCTAAAGTAACAGAATTCTATAAAGGGATTTGATAACTATTTCAATACATCACTCAAGTATGTGAAGTTAATGAATATGGCAGCAGAAGGCAGAACTAATATAGCTTTCTTATCAGATGACTGAACTGCCAAAATTTTTTTAAAGTGTACACAAATATGTACTACTTCATACGTTCTAAAGCCCAAATGAAAATGAAAGAGAAAATACTGCTAAACTGCAAAGTTTTTATGGTTTCTATTTCTATCAGCTATTCAAAAAGCACTCTTAACACATCCCTCAAATATGTCCAATGATACTTACAGAAGGATCTGACTGAAATAAATATGGTCGTCCCTCATTCCAACCACAAATAAGTAAGGAAACTCCAAATGGACGAACACCACTGCAGAAAGGAAAATAAAAACTACTTGGCGTCTTCATGGTATTAAAGACATCCTCAAGAACTTAAGCAAATTATCTGGTAAACTGAATCAGACTTTAAAGTTCCTTCAAAAGTATTTATTTAATACCTTTCTGAATCAATCAATTAAAAATTAATTATCTTTATGGAGTAAGAAGCAGCAGTCAAACACTTGGATTAAATGAAGTGACACCCAAAGACACTGAAAATTACCAAGTGTGGAGTAACATTTAGCATCCTAATAAAATGAGAGCATTCAGCATTCAACCAATATATTTATACTGTCTCATCCACACCCAAATTTAAGAAATTGGAGTTAAAATGAACACAAGTGTGTCAAAGAGCTACTGTCTTCATCATGTGCTTTCAATCATTTCTGGTTAGAAGCAATCAGTCTGCCCATAAAAAAAGTGTTTTAATCAATGGCAAAAGGACTTTGTATACCTAGAAGCTGTTTTCTGCTGAACAAGAAAGCATTCACAATTTTTCCCCTCACAAAAATATTCTAGATCCAGTTAAGATCAGAAATATTCATCACAGTGATTTTGTCCACTTGTTAGGCAAATACAAGAAAAGTAAGTCCTCTTCTAGTTATACACCCACTCTTTTAAAATGAATTTTTCCCCCTAATTCATGGCGCATGTTAAGTAATTAAAGCAACTTACCCTGACTGGGTGTATTCTTGCATAACAGAAGCTACCCTCTGTACCAGCTGAGCTGTGGGGATGGGTTCTTGGTAAACAAGATAGTATTGCTGAGCTAGTTTTCGAGCTCTGTGCACAAGCACTCTAACAAGGAAAAAATAAGATTTAATTAAAATTAAAATACTCTGCTAAAGACTCATTCTCCTTTTATAGGCATACACTTACAGTACAAATTTAACACAAATCTCTTTAATGGTAGCTATCAGTTCTTAGTCTTACTCTTAACACCTGATTCTAGTTAATTTAGAAGAATATATCAGAGCATCACAGATGAGCTGAACAATAGGAGATAAATGAGAAAAAAGTAAGAGGAAGGAATTTAAGGACTTAGGGTACCAGTCAGCTTAAAAGAGATTACAAGTACAAAATGAGAGCTTTTATCTCCCTCCATAGTTTCTTCAAGGTTGTCTCTTTTACCTGAGGGCAGCCTGCCTTTTTATAGCTCACTCTAGTCAACACACACACATGAATACACAGGCACACAATTCCAGTCTGACTCAATCTTTTCCACAGACTGCTTTTATTTTGCTGCCTGCACTTCAAAAAATACCCTTCAGAGATTAAGAAATAGCAAGAAACTACTTATAACTTAAAAATATATAAAATTTGCCAACAGATATTAAGAATATACTATACAACAACCAAATATATTACCAAGGCAAACAGGATTTATCTTTACCTGCTCATATACTACGGGTCTGAAATATGCACACTATCCTTCTGCGTCCCATCCCTCCCAGTTTATTCTATCAGTGGTAGCACACTGCAGTAACCCTTCTATACAGTGGTAACAGGATCCACTGTCCTGAAGCCTGGTCACATTCCAGTGACCTTGTTGCATATCCTGAGTCATTATGTGAAATGTTGGCTCTACCTATCTTGCTCCACATAATCATGAGTAATAAAGTAACACTCCTTACACTTGTTGAATGATAAACTTGCTGGGACCCTGACGTAACAGGATTAGTCTCTTTTCCTGTGAAATATAAAGGGAGTGATCATATGAGCATCTAGATCCGGCTGGCTACCATACTCTGCAACTTTCAGTGGCCTTTGAGAATTTTGTCCCTTGCAAAGAACAGGAATAAAGTTAACTCTGGATAGTGATGCTTTCTTTTGTTGCCTGATACTTTTTTAAAATACAGTGTACTACGTGTATTGTTTTTATCATTTTAAAAAGCACTAGAGAACACTAAAGCCCTTTATGCCCAGACCTTGGATAGTAAAGGAGGGATCCTAATCAGAAGGGAAAGGCCACTAACAGCGATAAGAGGAGTAAGTAACTGTATCTATCTCCGGTTTTACAATGGAGTGGCAATGAGTTATCCTCCTTAAAGTAACCCATACAGGCAAAGTAAATTCAGCTGTCTATGAGGCTGCTGTTGCTAAACAAAGCACACACACACACACACACACACACACACACAAAAGGAGTTAGAAGATTAAAGGAAGGCAAAGATCCTTGATTTTTCTCCTGGAAGTACAGATTATGATCAATTCATGAGATGGTGAGAAACGCTACAAATGGTGTAAAGTACCGGTAATCTGGGCCCATGCCACTGTACACCAAGCCTATGTGCTTGGTAATTGGTTCCACTTTGTGTACACTTCGCTCGTCATACAGAATGGATTTCTGTTTCTTCTCAGTTGCTAATACCACACCATTTGCAGCTTTAAAAAAGAAAAAGACCGACATGTTTAGTCACTTGCAATATTTTAACAGCTTTCTAATTATGGGTGTGTTAAACCCAAAGTCCTGTGGTGTTTCTTTTAATTTATAAAACCTTTTCTTCTGGATTCCTATATCAAAATTACTTAAGGAATGGTGCCTCACTGGCCATTTATGCTGTACTAAAAACAATTCCTACAGTGAAAAGTTTTTCAACCTTTTGTAAAACACTCTAGGATAACTGAGAGTTTACATGTTTTAAAATAAAGGATTTCTGCCTTTTTTGGCCTACTATTCTTATAACATGAAATTTACAATAAATAATATAGCCTTTTTTTAAAAGGGTACTAGGATATAAAACTAGTATCTTTAGATTGTTTTATAATTAAACTTTCCTAAATTATAAGGATAAAAACTGCCACAGCAGTAATCGGTGAAAAAACAAAAGAACACTCAATTTTCTGAATGAGAAAAGCTATTGTGGGCTATCGCAATTAATAAAATAAAAGTGCTATAGTTGCTTTGATAAGAAATAGTAATCACTTCCTTAGTTTATTGCTATTTTCTTTAAACTTCAAACCACTGTAAATTAACAAAAAGAACTGTTACATTATGCTGCCACAACTCTTTATAATTTGATTACTAATTAATTTTTAAAACAGGATAACTATTAACAGGGATCTGAAATAAATGAAGCGTTTAATTACCTTTAATTCCCACTGAAGGGGCTCCTCCAGCTACAGCAGCCAAAGCATATTCAATCTGGACAAGTTTACCAGAAGGGCTTAAAAAGAAACACGGGTATTTGCTAAGTTAACACATCATCAAATATGTATTGCAGGAACATCTCTGAGAGTAGGCAGGTAGTAAAGGTCATTCCCATTAATCAAATTCCAGAGACTAGCTGGCCTTTGAAATCTTCCATGAAGTAGTGCAGAAACTAAGTTTAAAAGGTGACTGTGAAGCACTGATTTATCTTTCCCTTGGTATTTTCTGCCTGCCACTTAGATCAGCATCATTACTGTTGCCTCTTTTCACCACATACCAACCTTGTGACTTTGGGCAAGTCACTTAAACTTTGTTTTCTCATCTGTAAAATGGAGATAAAAATACTACAGTAGCTACAGTCAGCCTTCCATATCAGTGGGTTCCACAAGGCCAACTGTGGGACTTGAGTATTCCTGGGGGTCCTAAAATCAATCCCCTGGGGATTGTGATGGACAACTGTACCTCTTTCAAAGGGCTGTGGTGATAAGTAATGCCTATAAAAGTTTCAGGCACAAAATTAGAAATAAGCAAACACTGAATAGTAATGTCATTAAGAACATGAATGTGTCTGTTAAAAAACAAACAGCAACATATATTTCATGTGGAGGGTTTTTAGAAAGAAACCTGTCCTAAGATATAAGGCCTAGATATCACTTGCAACAAAATATTCTCTATATAATATAAAACTGTTTCTAGGCATCATTAGATGGTTATACTTAACGGATCTGGTTTCATGGATTTGGCAGCCAAATACTATTCCAAAATGGCCTTTTAGGTTATACTTTATTTCAACCTAGTTGTTGAGTTTGATTTATTATATACATCATGAACCAATTTCTTATTTCACAGATAAAGGAAAAGTCCTTGAGTGAAAGTAATTTGTCCAAGTGACACAGCTAGGTCCATAGCTCCATCTACTACTGAAAAGATCACCTTAAGTTTCAGAGGGCCATCTATTTTATCTTTGTAAAATTATGGATACTTCTCTTGTCACTCAAGTCTCAACTCACACCAACCCACTTTGCTCCAGACAGACTACTCTCAGACTTCAAAAACTCTTTAACAGGTTAATCCCTCTGTCTAAAATGCATCTCTCTACTGCCCAATGAACATCTTCCTGGCCATCCTTCAGTCTTTAGTAGAAATGTTGTATCCTCAGGGAAGCTGCCTTGACCCTCAGACTAAGCTGAATACATCTAACACCCATGCCTATGGTATCCTGTACTTCCTCTGTGGCCAAGATTCATCATATTTGAATTATTTTTAAAATAGTTGTCTTCCTCAGTAAACCGTAAGCCCTGCTCAGTCAGGATTCCAGTATCTAACCTAGTACCAAGAATCCACAGTCATCTGGCTGATGGAGACACATCTAGATCAATTTAAGGAATAAACCTAAGGGCAATAGCTTAAAGACTCTTGACATAGGCAATTAGCTAATTAGAGCAGAATAACATTAATTGCCATTTAAATTTAAAAATTAGGCTGAACTTTTTCCCCTTTAATGGTCACCATTTCAATAATCATATAATGACTTTCTGGGTCCATCCACTTTTCAATTATTGTTCAATACCTAGTTACATACATCTGGGGAACATTTAAAGGCTCACACAAACTTTAAAAAGTTACCTTTTCTCTGCTCCCAGAATCACTTGTATATACATACTCTTGCCACTGCATCTTTCTGTGTGAAAGCTCACTAACCCATGAACTTGCTGAATAATCAACCATCTTTATATTTAATAATGCCACAACCACATTCCAAAGTATTACGTCTCTACATAGGATAACTGAAATAGCCTTCTAACTAGTTTTCTTCTTTCTTAACCTTACGTTTCACCCTTGTCCAGAGTTACCTTTGTACCATGTCACCCCCATTTAATCCTGTAAAACTCTTTACTTTGGTCTACAAAGCCTTGCATGACTGGCCCTCACCCACATTACCTCCTTGCTTACTATATTCTAGCACATTTGCCTCATTTTAATTTCTCTAAGAGCTTAACCTCCTTCCCAGCTTCAGGGCTTTCATACATGCTCTTCCCTCTGTCTACAACTCTTCATAGTCCTAAATCTTCGAATAGCTGGTTCCTTTTGATTTTCCAATCTCAAAAATCACCTCCAAGTACGGGCTTCTCCTGACTCCCCAATCTAAAGTAATGCTCCATCTTTCGCCTTTTTTAAAATAAAATATCTTAGTAAGAGAACCTTTTTCAGAATTCATTAACAGGTACTAATGTTACTAATTCATTGTCAATATCCCCAGCCAGACGTAATCCACAAGAACATATTTTAATCCTATATCGCCTCTAGCTATGTCCACCATCAGTATAATTCTGATAACAAGAGGCTGGAAACAAATGTTTTCTTTTTATCTATAACAGAGTGAGTAATCAACAAATTTGCTATAAAAAAAGATTCAGTCCCTGGTGATGTATGGTTGTTTTATGTTTCAGCTCTACTAGGATTATACTTTCTTAGAGATAAAGGATCACATTTGCAGTGTGAGCAACAGAGCGAGATTCCAGCTCTAAAACAATAAAATAAAAGAATCAGCCAGGTGTGATGGCCCACACCTGTAGTCCCAGTCACTTAGGAGGCTGAGGCAGGAGGACTCCTTGAAACTGAGTTTGAGGCTGCAGTGAACTATGACAGCCCTTTAGCCTAGGAGACAGAGCAAGACACTGTCTTGAAAAAATAAAGACCACAAATGCTTTGTTCATAAATATGAACAGTGACTACCTTGCACATATTATTCTCTGTTATTGTATATGAGAACTTTTATTGCAGAATTAATTTCATTCAAATGTTACAAACAAGAACTATTACATACCTTCATTTCTTATTGAAAATTGCCAAGAAGATTTTTGGGCTTTAGGAAGGTAACATAATGTGATGAAAAGTGCATTAACTTCTGTCACCAGAAAGAACCCAGTGTGGATGTCAACTCAGCTACTCACCAATGATCTTAAACAAGTTATTTAATTTGTGCAAGCTGTGGTTAGGTCATCTTCATGATGCTGAAATAACATTCATGATATATGGTAGAGGAAAAAGTTGGAGTAGGTTAAGTTGCATCTATACAGAAAGTATTCAACAAGTTATATCACACCTGCCTTCAGTTGTCAGGACTACATTTGAAGTAAATGGGGTATTACTGATCCTCAAGAAAATAGTCAAATCAGAATCTTTCCCCAGGCAATTTTTAAAATTCTTCGGCAATGATTTTCTTACATTGGGAACGATGATTCGCCTCAACTGTATTTTGAAAAATATACTTACTTACTTTAATCCCTTGTCCGAAAAGCCTATGATCTTGTTTAAAGTAAACATCCCTCTCCAAAACAAACAAACAAATGGTCAAAGCGCAAATTGTAGCCTAGTAGTTAGGGGCTCATAAAAAAACTGATAGCTCAGCACCTTTATTTTTTAGTTCTTATGCTTCTAAGGAGCATCGAAGAAACCGAAAGCGAGAGGCTTTGAAAGGCACTAGTGCCAAATGGAGACGAAGACTCTGACCTAACAGGAAAGCTGAGCGTTTTCCAAGAAAAAGGGAACCCCACATATCTGACCAAGACCCCGAATTTCAGAAACTCCCGCACCAAGCCTACTTGGGCCACGAAGGAAACCATTGGTTTTCCACGGGCCACCCGGAGACGGTTAGTCCAAACTGCCTTATTTTTTAATTCCCAACGCGAAAACGAATCCTTGTCTAGGGGCCTCACCTTCCCGCAGCCCCAAGATCGCCACGGATCCCCACGAACCTCCCGCGGCCTCCCGGCACCGCTCTTCCCCGGGCCCGGGCCGGCCTGGCAAATGACTTTGCAAAGCTGCATTTCCACCTCCACTCCCTGTGGAGCCCTCCAGAAGCACCAATACAGATGTCAGGAGGGAAAGAACGAAATCAACGGAGTTCCCGCAACCTCTGCTCCGCGGAAGACCCTCGAGGGCGCCTGCCATACCTGAACGTAGTCAGCGAAAAGCTGTACCCGCGCTCCGCCATCTTTACCCGGAGAGCAAAGGCACATTCGTACACATGCGCACTGCAGCCGGTTTTCTTTCATTTCCCCGCCCCGCTTCTTTCCTCCTCTCCCGCTGATTGGAGAAAGAGGCAGAGCCCGCTCCAGAAGCATGCTGGGTGTTGTAGTTCTAAGAGCGGAGGTCGGTCCCACTGGGCGTCTGTGCGCATGCTCAAAATCGAAGCGAGCCCCCAGCGGCCCGGAGGCAGGGCACGAAGGGGGAGTCGTTTTCCGGCGAGGAAAATGGCGTCGGCCATGCTCCTGATTATGCTTCCGCGGTGGTCGGCGGCCCGGGGACGGCTCCGAAACTGCTGGCAGCGACTACAGCAGAAGCTTCAGCAGAGCTGGCCAGGGTTTCCCAGCTCCCCGTGGGGTAGGTGGAGGAGGGTTTCGTGGGGGAGAAGGTTGCAGGAGGGCGCCCGGGGAAGCGACATAGACACAACCCGGTTTCTCATCCGAGGCCGCGCGTTAGGGGACGTCGTTCGTGACACTTACTTCTCAAGAACACACAGCTCTTTATACACGCCTTCCCCTGAAGAAGGAAAAAGTTCTCCTGCTTGCTGGTTCCATTGGTGCATAGAATGTAAGCCATGCTTGTGTCAACAACAAGTTACAGCCGGGCATTAGGTAAAGCGCTGAGAACAGATTTTTATCCGGTAACTAGTGACAGTACGAGAAAGAGCTGAGCTCCGTCTCAGTTTGTGCAGAGGTGATTTGGGCGTTTTAAGGGGAGAATGTGAGGGGCGGGAGCGCGGGGCCTCAATAGAGTCAGAGAAATGAAATGGTGCAAAGGCTTGGTCAGTGTAGATAGGATTAGCCAGCTGTGTTGGCTAGCTCGCGATGATCGTAGTATTCTGGTGTCCCACAGAGACTGGGAGATGGAAGTCCCTGCCCTTCCTGAGGATTAGATTTCAAAGAAATGACTCTGGTCCTTGAGAGAGAAAGAGGCTTCTGAGTTGCAAGGGATACATGTTTACAATTGTAAGCCCTTTTGTGTAGATGCTGTAAGAAAGCGAGTTCAGGGCCTACTAGCAGGGGTATGTTGGCTAGAATAAATAGGAAATTTTGCAGGCAGCTTTGAACTTTTCCAGGCAGGCACTTTAAAAGACTGAGAGCATCCCAGGGACACAGCCTTATGTGGATAGAAGCCGTGCTGGGGTTTGGGCAGATTTGCCTTGGGAAGACAGTTCTTCAGTTCTCACTTGACATCAAGGTCACCACTCTGTATCTGTCCTGTCTTTCCTTTTCAGTCCTCCCACCCCGATGTTGCATCTGCAGTGCTTGTTGTTCTCCTGTGTTATCTGAGCTCTGCACAGATGAATTCTGCTTTCCTTGTTTACTTCTGGGAGTAATTTTAATTGGAAGTGTCTTGAATGCTAAAACTGCCATTCCTTTGACATTTACATTCTACTCAGTTTTGAAGTACCCAAAAGTGATAATACCCAGGCAGTCTGAATGGAGAATAAATAGATAGATATCTAAATATATCTAGATAGACAGATATATCAAACACACACTATATATACCACTATATGTCAAGCAATGTGCTAAGTAAGCTTTCTACATGTACTTACTGGAATAATCTTCACAATCCCATTAGGTGTCTCCACTTTCCAATGGGTCACACAAACAGTCTTACAACCTGTGTTTGTTAACCACTGGGCTATGTTTAGCTCAATGCTTAGCGGTACTTTTAGACATATTGAAAAGGAATATCAGTTGTTAAGTGTTAGAGAGCTTTGTGTGCTTTTAAGAGTTCTTAAAATCAAAAGTGGTATTTCAAGTCAGATAATAGCAAGAAAAAGGCAAAGGAATCTCTCTTGATTTTATGAGCAACTTAGAAAAACAAAAGTGAAACTTTGATAGTTACATAAATAATATCATGCAAAGAAGTGGTAAGCTAGCTGTATTCTTTAGAGAACAGACAGGAGTCAAGATTAAATATTATGAAGAACTAAGTTATTTAAGGAGTTACTGGGTTATATGATAAAGGAGCTAACTCCATTTGAATATAATAAAGAAGGACCAATGGACAGTTAGTACAGGTAAGAAATGCATTTAGGGAATCTCAGTCTTGCAAATGAATGAGTTACTACTGCCTACCAAGTAGAATGTGAGCATTTGAGTGAATTTTGTTTGTTTGGCTTGTTTAAGTTAGGCATTAGGGTTTTATTCACATTATCTGCTAACCCTCTGAGTCCTGTATTTTATGAAGTGAGAAATTCTTGAATTTCACTGATCTTGTTTCAGCAGGTTCCACTAAGAAAAAATTTTATCTGCGTTCTTACAATTATCTTGTATGAACAGTTAAGCTTTCTGGTTACTGAATTTAACATTCTGAATTATCTCTCTCTACATATCTTTGTGTATGTGTGTGACCATTGATTGTTAAGGAGAGTGATACGTAAATAGTCGTTTAGAAGCTGGAAAGTAATTCTGAATCTCTGTATTTTATTTTACAGGACCAGCATTAGCAGTCCAGGGTCCAGCCATATTTATAGAGCCAGCAAATGATACTAGTGGAAGTAAGGAGAATTCCAGCCTTTTGGATAATATCTTTTGGATGGCAGCTCCCAAAAACAGACGCAGCATTGAAGTTAACCAATGTAGGAGAAGAAACCCTCAGAAACTTATTAAAGTTAAGGTAATATGTTGATTTTTGTGGGTGTGCTTTTTCTCAGGTCTGCCATTGAATAGCCTCATGTAGCCTATGGATAAGTTATTCTTAGATCTTATATGTCTGCTTTCCTCTGGCCTGAATAAGTAACAATATTCTCATTATGTTTGCTGTGCTCTAGCCTAAATAGTGGAAACACAGTCAAGGAAGGAAATTGGAGATGGGACCGAGGACTAGACTCTAAAGCACTTACGTGAATTTTAAATTGTGAGTCATGTCAGTCCTGAGAAGTGTGATTTTTGAACTACAGATGGGTAAACATGCCTAGAATTAAATCCAGAAACAGTAGATATATTGGATCTTCGGTTTAAAAAGCCCTTGCATGTTTGTTTTATTCTTAACATGTCCAATAAAATACTGTGAAGAAAAACTGTTGCGATAAGTAATAAAATAGCTAACATCTATTTAGTGCTATGCAGTATCTCAGTGCATTCTGTTTTTTATAGCTCATCATATCTTAATAACAACCCTCCAGAGCAAATACCATTTTCTTCATTTTTAGAATGAAAAAACTAAGACAAAAAATTTGCCTATGGTCACACCACTATTAAGTGGTAGAGCCAGGGTTTGAGCCCTACCAATCTAATTTTTGAGCTCATATTCTTCCCTTAAAATTTTTCTTTGTGTGCTCCTATCCTCAGACAATTCCAGATTCCCCCTCCCCACAATGTGGATGTACTATAAAAATAAAAATTGTAGTGTCTGTTTCCTCTGGTCTGTTAATTTATGGCTTTAACAGTTATGATTTCATTTATTGTTTACTTCATGGCATTCCAAAGCATCAGCACTATATAGATGAGACTCAAGAATAAAGAATTGACTTCCATAAGCTCCCACATTTACTGTTAAGCCAAACCCTTAGAACAAGAGCCAGGATGTATTACTGAGCCATGTTGGGGCTGAACTTAAATCTGTAACTAAAAAAGATTTTATTAGTTCAGACACACTATAAGCTGGGTGCGATGGCTCACATCTGTAATTCCAGCACTTTGGGAGGCAGAGGTGAGAGGATTGCCTGAGCCAAGGGGTTCAAGACCAGCCTGACAACTTGGGGGGATCTCGTCTCTGCAACAAATCAAAAAATTAGCCAAGAGAGGTGGCATGTGCCCGTGGTTCTTGGAAGCTACTTGGAAGGCTGAGGCGAAAGGATCACCTGAGCCCAGCAGGTCGAGGCTGCGGTGTCCATAAGCATGCCATTGTACTACAGCCTGGATGACAGAGCGAAACTATGACTCAAAACAAAAAACAAAAAACAAAACACTGTAATTCATAAAGTTTGGTCAAGAGAACTTACGATTTTAGGAATGATATCTTATACTCTTCTATTATATGACTTCCCTTATTGCATTTATTCTGAGAGAATAGCTTATCTTGAGCATTTATTTTCTTTGAATTATTTTCTGCTACATATAATATATTGAGTACTCAGATCATGAAAAGATGACCAACTGACTGTAGGAATCTTTTCATACCTTCATTTGGACATGCAGTCCAGTTTTTAGTATAGTGGAGTAAAGAGAGAATATGGTGAAGCCAGTCATATGCAAGTTTCTTCTTTCTAGAAAATGAAATTCTTTTGTTTTCTGCCTCACAAATGTTAGTATATTAATTTTATGAAGTGTTTGAAGCTTTGTTGTTTCTGTTTACTATTTTTTTGTATTTTCTTTCAAATCTCTCTTCAGAACATGTTGATAAGTCTTTTAGCAGCTATAATATAGTTGTTTTATTTTATAGTTAAAGCTGTGACTGGGCACAGTGGCCCACCTCTATAATTCTAGCGCTTTGAGAGAGACTGAGGTGGGAGAATTGCTGGAGGCCAGGAGTCCGAGACCAGTCTGGGCAACATAGTGAGATACCATCTGTACAAAAAAAAAGAAAAATTACTGGGTAGTGCGGTTACAATGAACTATGATCCAGCCACTGTACTCCAGCCTGCATTACAGAGCTAGACACTGACTCAAAAAAAAAAACCAACCAATCACTATATGTATATATAGTTAAAGTTAGATAGACACATATAAAAACTCATTAAAATACCCTCAGATTGAAACATGTAAAAGAGTTTTACATTAAAGAATAATCAGTGTTCAGTTATAAACAGAAAAATTGCACCATATACCAAACCTATATTTTATACAGGAATTTGAATTACGTCATGATAAAGCAGAGCAAGCCAACTTGTAATATTCTTATCATCTTTTCTCCCAATATAGAGTGAGAGACAAGTGAATTTAATTTTCCTTTATGTCTTATTTAAGATGCTGATTGCATGGTTCATTTCATTGTGTTAATGGATTTTTGTTTGATATTTAATATTTGGAGTGAGGGTAAATAGAGTACCTTTTTATATAAATATTGCTGTTGTTTTTAAGTATAAGTGTATCCAATTCAAAGTTGGTGGACCTGAGTTCTAGTCCCAGTTTTCACTAATTCAGACTCAGTGTTGCTTGTTCTCAGTTTAGTTGTTAAAGCAAGGTACAACTAGATGGTCTGTGACCCCATGTTGCCTGAATATTCTAAAAAAAGTTAAAATGTAAGTATTACTCCTGTCAGTGATTACTTGTGCATTATATTGCCTCTTGTTGAAATATGTTTTTGCTTGTTGTTTTAAAGAACAATATAGACATTTGTCCTGAATGTGGTCATCTGAAACAGAAACATGTCCTTTGTGGCTATTGCTATGAGAAGGTGTGCAAGGAGACTGCAGAAATCAGACGACAGATAGGGAAACAAGAAGGGGGCCCTTTTAAGGCTCCCACCGTAGAGACTTTGGTACTGTACACAGGAGAGACACCGTCTGAACAAAATCAAGGCAAGAGGATCATTGAACGAGACAGAAAGCGACCCTCCTGGTTCACCCAGAATTGACACTAAAGATGTTAAAAGAGGACAACTTCACAGTAGAACATTTCTGAAGAGAGGAAGATTCTTTGTTTTTAATTTGTTGGACTTTAAAAAAAAATCATCGATATAGTATAGAGCTTTCTTTATAAGTAGTTTTGTGTGGAGTAATTTGAGGAATATGTTATGAGTAAACTCTGAAAATATTTATGTAAAGATTCAGTGGATTAATATGTCTGTTTCTATTACATATAAGGTTTTAAATAAACAAATATCCAGAACAAAAATAAAAGAAAAAATTTTTTAAATTGGAGCAAGAATCATATGTTTTGGCTATGGTTTTGTTTGTTTGCCAGGGGTTTTATTTTTTGTTTTGTGTTTTTAAGATGAGACTATGTAACTACTCACATTTTTTTCATCTTTATTTTAGATTCAGAGGGCACTCATGCATGTTTGTTACATGAACATACTGTGTAGTGGTGGGGATTGGGTGGCCTATTCCCCAGATAGTGAACATTGAACCCCACCGATAATTTCTGAATCCTAACTCACCTCCCGCCTTATTGGTGTCCCCAGTTAACACAAATACTTTTCATTTAAGTAACACATGAAAACAGGCTATTATTTGAATTCTTGGTATTGTGTTTTAAGATGGAAGTTGTGGTAGCAAGAAAAGGTTTTTTTATTTTATTTTATTTTAGTAAGTTAAAATTGCTTCTGGAGGAATTCACTTTATATAGAACATATGCTAATGAATCTTGATAGAAGTAGTTCTTTTCAAAATCAAAATCACATTCAGAATATACTAGATAGTTCATGTTTTAGGGGAGAGACTTAGTAGAGATATGTGAGCAAATTCCTTAGTATACCAACAATGTGCTAAATTTTACATTTATTTCCTAGAATGTCCTTTAGTTTGTTTTACATTTTATTATTTTTATCTCTTTGTAGCAGTCTCTTTGGTTTAACTTTCTACAGTTCTTTTTCTATTTTCTTTTCTTTTTTTTTTTTTTGAGTGGGCATCTCACCGTCACCCGGGCTGGAGTGCAGTCACACACTTAAGGCCATTGCAGCCTCTACCTGCTGGGTTCAGGTGATCTTTCTGCCTCAGCCTTCCATGTAGGTAGAACCACAGGCACACGCTGCCATGCCTGGCTAATTTTTTGATTTATTGTAGAGATGAGGTCTTGCCAAGTTGTCCAGGATGGTCTCAAACCCCTGGACTCAGACAGTCCTCTCACCTCCACCTCCCAAAGTGCTGGGATTACAGGTGTGAGCCACTGCTCCTGGCTTATTATTTTCTACTTACCTCATATCTATGTGTACCTTGATGTCAAGAATTGCTATTTTGTTTTCTGCCCCATTCAAAATTAAATGAGATAGCGAATTGAAACACATTATAGGCAAGTAAGGGAATTATAGTTAAAGAGAAAATTGGTAGACATGATAAAACCCAGGGATGTATTTAAATGTAACGAATATGCAAACCACAATAACCTGACACTATACTAGGCAGCAAATTCAACTCTGAACTTGCTGGAAAGAATGGATCAATCTTCACAAGTTAAGACAATCAAGAAGGTACTAAGGCCTGAGGAATATGGCTCCCACAGGGCTTCATAATGAGGATATGTAATGGTGTAATTCATGTTAACATTCCTAGAGGTCAAACGACTCATTTCATGGGGATACAATATAGACCAATGATTGTTGAAGTGCATTCAGTAAAAGCACATCTTTAAAACCCAAAATACTAGAATCCCAGCAAACATCTCTTTCAAGGCTTGACTTTATCCAAGTTTAAAACTTGAGATTCCAGAGCAAGTGCTTATCTGTATGTTGTTAAGGCAGTCCTCTATAGATAATAATTTTTAACTCTGACAAATTGTATAAGTGCTGTGTAGTTGAACTTAAGTAGATATACTTGAGATGGTTCGTGAACACTAAGGCTGACTACACCTGGATATATTTAACTGCCTACTGAGTATCACCAGTTGACTAATAGGTTGCAAAGTGAACTTCTGGGTAACAAATTGTCCTCTGATGGTTAGGGACTGAATGTATTCCCCTAAAATTTATATGTTGAGTATGAAATTCATATTTTGAAATCCTAACCGCCAACGTGATGGTATTAGGAGCTGGGGTCTTTGAGAGGTAATTAGATGTTGAGGGTAGTGAGACAAGATAGCTAGAGAAAGGCTAGGCAGAGAGGCGGGTCCTTTGGTAATAATATAGCAAATTCCCAGCAAGCCTCTCAGGCTCAGCATTGGTAAACAAGCTCCCTGTGAGCCTCTCCAGCTAAAGTTTAAGTATTCCCTGCAAGGATGGAAAAGCAACCAATCAGTTCGCCATCAGGTCCCTATCTTAATACTGACCAATCAGAACAGCTACAGCTCACAGCTATTGCTAGCCACTCGGCTTAGACTTAGGGTTATATAAGCACCAAGTTTTGGGCCCCAGATGGGCAACCCCTTCAGGTCCCTTCCTGCTGTGAGAGCTTTTCTGTCCTCTCAATAAATCCTGCTTTCTCACTTTCCAATTATCCATGTACCTCATTCTTCCTGGGCATGAGACAAGAACCTCGAGCCTGAAGAGCTGCAGAAGATCGTGGGAGCTGAAGAGCCATGCACCCCAGAGGCTGGCTTGCCAGCTGACGGGGCTGGCTGAACCGGGAGAACTGCGGAAGAAGGCAAGATTCTGAAGTTGAGCCATTCTGGGATCTAGGCTTGCCAGCCCAGCGAACCAGCAATACTCTCAGGGCTTGGCTTGCAAGCCCATTAGAGCTGATACTTCTGGGGTAAGCTTACCAGCCCCTCTAGACTACCCTCTCTGACCCACTGAACTGACACTCTGGAAGCCCAGGCTGACGTGAAAAATCCACATCAGTAGAGCCCTAATGAATGTGATTGATGCCCTTATAAGAAGAGACAAGAGCTTGATGTCTCTGCTCTCTGCCATGTGAGAATCCAAGGAGAAGACCATCTATAAACCAAGAAGAAGATCCTCACCAGAACCAAATCTGCTGGCACCTTGATCTTGAACTTTTCAGCTTCCAGAACTATAAGACATAAATTGTTAAGACACCCTTTCTGGTAATTTTTTTAGCAACTCAAGCTAAGTCAAGGTTTCATATGCAGGTAGACCTAGCAAAGGTATGTGGGCAGGGTCACTGTTTTCTGTTTTTGATTCACAGGCAGGTAAACTGGTTATAAAATGCATCCCCAAATGAGGCAGTAATTAGCAAAACCAGATGTCTAATTAATAGCATAAAGTGGAGTGCTGATCACTTTTTTAGGTATGAGTTCCTCAGTTATCTTTTTACACTTCATGCCTCCGGTTTTTACCATTGCAGAAAGGAGATCATGAGTTTATGTAACTGATTCATTCATGTTTTGAACAGTAGAAATTGACTCCCATTGCTGCCAAAATTATCCCCAAAAGGGGTGAGGGTTGAACTTCTTTGTCCCTACTCACCCCTTTCACCAGGAAGAAGTTGAGACATTTCACTAGGCTATTTAGGAAGGTGTCATCCTTGACTCTGATATCCTCTGAGCAAATCTACAGATCCCATTGGTGCTACCTTTAAAAAATATACTTTGGGCCAGGCTCGGTGGCTCATCCTGTAATCCCAGTACTTTGGTAGGCTGAGGCTAGTGGATTACTTGAGCCCACAGGTTCAAGACAAGCCCGGACAACTTGGTGAGACCTCATCTCTACAATAAATGAAAAATTAGCTGGGTGTGGTAGCATGCACCTATAGTTCCAGCTACTTCGAAGGCTGAGGCAGAAGAATTGCCAGAGCCCAGCAGATCGATGCTGGTGTGATTGTGAGCATGCCACTACACTTCAGCCTGGGCGACAGAGTGAGACTCTAACTCAAAAAAAAAAAACAAAAAAACTAGTTACCACCCCAGTCAGTCCACTGTCTTGTCCAGATTACTAAAGCATCCTAGTAACTGATGTCTCTGCTTCCACCCTGGTCTCCTATGGTCTATCCTCAACCAGCAGCCAAAATACTTTCAAAACAGGTCACCTCGTGTCTCTCCTCTGTTCAAACTCCTTTAATGCGGTATATTTTTTCTCAATAAACCAAAAATATTTTAGTTGCACTATGGATGACCCAATTTAAAGAGATTAGAATAGATCTTTTTAAAATATAAATTTTTAAAAATAATTTGTGTGGTGTGACTTTTAAGTTCAAGGTTCCTTCTTTGGGGGCCTTTATAACATTGATTGTGAAGGGGATCACTTTCATGCACTTCTCAGAGACTATTTTCTATTCCTCCCTTTTCCCTCCCATACGCAGTTGTTATGTTTCAGGGACAGGATTGGCCCTTCCATATTCTAAATCTGTGCTAAGGAGCACTACTGTCTATGATCAGGGTTTCTTCTTCTAGCACATACACAAACTTGTTTTCAGCTGCACCTCGTAAGGAGCAGTGTCTTACACAGTCTACATTCACAAACAGCATTTTCATTTGTGACTCTCTGACAGGATGGTAACTCTTCCATCTACTGTCCTTTGCTCATTTCTGCAATGCAAAGGGCATCCAGAACAGCAACACCTAAGGCAAGTGGAGAGCATGTTCCCTGGTGCTCATTGGGATGCCCTGGGCCACACTCCACAGGGCTTTTTTCTACCTATTGACAATACTCCTTCGATGATAACGCCTTTGCGTTACCCTGCCCATGTTCCTCTGCTGTCCCCATTGACCACCTGGCGACTCGCCTCTTCCATGTTTGAGAAGTCACTAGTGAGCGTTAGGTATGCCGTTTCGAGCAAGGACCGGAGGAAAACTAGAGGACCAATGAGTCCAGGTCCCCTGGACCCTGATACTCAAGCTCAGAACCAACTTGACAGTTTCAGCCTGGAAACCGAAGTCAGGAACTACCAACATTTACCAGGCATCACCGAGCAGCCTCACTAGAGGGCAGCAGGTGAATTTGCACTGAAAATCCTCTCAAATGAGATAATCAACTGTCAGGTTCAGCAATGCTGGGGACATGATCAGTTTTTACTAAAGCCATCAGCCTGTGGCTATCAGACAGGAGTATTGCAGCAGGGCGGGGCGGGGGCTAGGCTGTCTGTAACATTGAGTGGAGCCTGCAGGCTGCTAACAAAATTGAGTCTCAGCTGTCACCAAGTCCAGGGCTCTTCTTCCTCTGCCCTGTGGGTCAATATTACTCTCCCTCAGTGTGCTCTTCTTGACCTTCTTCTCCTACCTTATACCCTTGAGTACATGCAGCCTGCTTAATTATAAAATCCTTTCCAAGACCATTTCTCAGGGTAAAAACTTAGAATGCTACTCACTCTATA